TGGTTTTTGAGAGAAAGGGGTTTTTGTTGTGGACAATGGCGATTGAAAGAGGAGGATCGTTGAGCTTTCAGAGGAGTCACCAAAGAGTTCACATTTTGTGGGTTTTGTTCTTACTTTAGGTAATCTTCTAAAACAGAGGGTTTTTAGGAAAGGTAGTAGAGGAAGTGATGGGGATTAGGGTTTCTGAAGGAAGTTGACGAATTGGGATTAGGTTGGGGTCCATGAAATGGAAAAGGGGTGACATGGTGTAAAAAAAATGATGAGATGGTACACATCAGCCTCGAATGTGTACATAGTTGACATGCAGGCATGGGTTAAACGGAAATATTCACAGTGATGATGTCAGTAGTTAAATAATAAATGATTTGGGTTAGTCGATAATTTTGGGGAGGACAAATGTCCCTTCATTTTTGTGGGGGTGGATCCATCCTACCCATCTTTTTTAAGGGGTGATTAAAGGGTTTTGCCTTTTCAATAATATTAACGGGTTACACCTTTTATATTTTGACGTACAACATTTTCAATATAAAGGCGAGGAAAGAGAAAAAAATTAGGGTTAGAAGAAAGATAATGATATATGGAGACATAAGAAATTATAATTGAATGAACTAAAATAAATAAATATTAATATAGAGAGGGAAATAAACGTGGATGTCTTTTATAACGATAAATTGTGTTGAGGGAATGTCACGCCCTATAACCCAAATCCGAGGCGCGACAAATGCCATGCACTCGTGAGAGGGTCTCACAAATGCACAAGGCTTGGAACTTAATCATATCACAATCTGATACCATCAAAATCTGAAAATCAAATTTTATAATTTGCTCTAATATCATAAATCTCCAATAAAGTCGAGTTTACTAGATCATGATTTATTTCTAAAATCTCTATCAATCTCGAAAGGGCTAGCCTTCTAACTCGTCACTTCCCGTGGTTCCCCGTCCTTGGTTTCGCTTCCTGAAATGGTGGACAAGGAAAAACTATGAGATAAACTAGGAAAAACTATGAGATAAACTCAGTAAGTAAAATATGGAGTGCCCCTTATTAAACTTATGGCATGCCAACAAGTGTAATCATGAAAAACGGATACAGTACGGGAATGAAGTAGACGTCTCCTCTATAAGTCATGGCCAGCGTATAACACCCACTGGCAGGCGTCAGAATTTACCAGTCATATCAGTAAACATGTCGACATGTGCTAGCGTTTATAACCTCCGCTAGCAAGGTCACTAATAACATGACCACATCGGAGACAAAACAGGCAGAAGTTAACAGAAAAATCATAATTCACCAATCACTTTCAAATCATCAGGACAATCAATTAAATTTCAAGTAGGCATGCTCAATTTAATGAAAAGCATAAAAATTTCACTTCAAATCAGTCATACTTACTTTTGCATAAAACGGATTTAGTCCCGCCACCATTTCAAAAACAAGTCAAAACATGCTTTAAAATTGAAGGGCATTTCCATAATCTACTTACCTCAAATCGCATAAAGCCGAAGACTCAATCTCAGTGCTAAACTGACAGAACAATTAGGAACCTAATCAAAATATCCAAGAATTAATTATCGTACCACGAATTCAAAAGTAAAATCACCATGACTACCCCCTAATCATGATGCTATTCCTATCAATCTCCATATGATCGGACATCTCCAAATTTATTCTTATATTACAAACTAAACATTTAAATCCCAGTTAATTGTTGGCCATCAGTGCGTGAACAGTACCATGAACAGTAACTGCATTTCCAAAAATTGGCCAAAACACTAGCTAATCTCAAGGGATTTTTCTCCAAAATCTAACAGCAGTCAATTAACACTCAATCACATAAATTTCACTTGAATTAAACTAAATCATAGTCTAATTATTGTCAAAGTTCATCCCTATTTTTCAACAGAATTTCGGACATCATAGGGGCAGCCACTACATGGATAATTCAACAACTAATGGATGATTTTAGGCTCAAAGGGGGCTGTCACATACCATAAATCCAGCAAGCAAGGCCGGAGCTACAATTTGGGGAAAGGCCGGTGGCATGGAAGGAGAAATTCTGCAGGGAGCTCACGGGATTAAAACCCAAAATTAAAGGAACCCAACTTAAATCAAAGCTAAAAGGATGAAATCATGGCTGTTCTTACCGAAAAGCCCAGAATTTCGCACCCACAAGCTGCAACTTGCAGACAGGGGAGGGGAGAAACCGAGCAGATCTGGAATTTCTGCAGAGGGGGGAAGATTTCAAGCTCCTAAATCTTGTTCTTGAACAAGAAAAGAAGGATAAAATCAAGCTTCCTACCGGTTTCCTCAAGAAAATTGTTGCCGGTAGCTTGGGGGCTTTCGGGAGCTGCAGGGGACGGGAAAGAAGAAGAAAAAGAGCAGAATTGGGCGGCTGAGGAAAGAAAGAAAGAGAAAAAAAAATCAACCATCCTTATCCAAAATTTCCCTCTTTAAGTCCCTCAACTTTTGAAATATTCACTATTAGGCCCAACAATATTATTTTCCACAATTTAGTCCTGAACGTAATGCTAAAATATCACAAAATTTTGGGATATTACATTCACCCCTCCTAAAAAAGAGTTTTGTCCCCAAAACTCAAATTGAGGACCATCTAAACTGGTGAATGGCTTCACACAATCCAAGACAAACAAATGCTTTACCAACTCTCCATGATCAGAACATAGCTTACTACGCTTCCGCTGCGCCACTCTGATATCAAACAACAACTAATCGTATAAGCAGAACATTAACTACTTAACAAGATTTGCCATCAAATAAGCTACTAGAGGCTGGGGTGATATGGAAGCACAAGGAATAGAAATAAATCGTGCCAAAGCCACAAAAAAACAATTGTGGGGTTACGCTTTGAACCCAACACAAGACGAGTTGACAAAGAATGGCATGGATTTAAAGACGAGTACAACAAAACCTTGAACTCTGCCACAAAACGGATAAGCATCCAATGGATATATGAATCATGAATGAATGAACGAGTGCATGGATGCCTTATACATTCTGCCACAAAACAAGGTTAACCAATAAGTAGGATCAGGTTTAACAAAACAACTGAAATCAAAAGACAGATTTTAGCAATTAACAAGAGTTGAAAGCTAGACCCATCAAATGACATGTGAAATTCCCAAAATAGCATCAGAATGAAATAAGTGGAGAATATGAATGCTTGGAAGAGTACTCGATCATAAGAGTGCAAGGTAAAATGCCTCAAAAATTCAACAACAAAGCGGCATTCACCAAGAATCAAAATCAAATTTAACCAAGCAGTCAAATTGAGAGACAAGAGTTAACCATGAAACAAGCAATAGAATTCAAGGATTACGCCCATAAAAGAGATTTCAATAATGACAACCAGAACACGGATTCAAGAGCAGATATAACCAAGATGTCAAGATTTAACACCCCAAGTAACACGAATTAATTAACAGAATAATCAATAGTGGGGATCAGGACACTTAGAAGATTACTGTCTTCTAATTAAAAGGGCAAACAAAAATCAAAGCAGCCAGATAAAAGAACCATTTCTCTTGGAACAAAACTCTAGGCATCAGGTACTTCAAAGACTACCCCTTCACCTCGTAACCCATGGAGGCTAAGTAGATTTACAATCAAGTCATCCGAGACATCCTAAAGTCAAGCCAAACTAAGGCATCAAGAATACAGAGATTAACACTTGCAAGAGACAAGAATTAGGATGCCTCATATAGGTATTTTCTAATAATCATCACCCCTCCTAAAGAGGTGTCCATATGAACAAAAAATCAAAAATCAAGAAGATCAACAGGTATACTAAAACAAGAACTAGCAGAATATGCAGGCTTTGAGCAAGAACCAGTATACAGAATTTGAACAAGAGGAAGGGTCAAGACAAGAATGGTTTTCAATGACAATTCGAAATAGATTCCAAAAACCAAATATCAAATTGACTTTCAAGAAAAGATTCCAAGAACAATATCAGTCGATTTTCAAGAGTAGAATTCCAACAAGAATTAATTTCAAGCAAGGTTCAAGATAAGATTTCAAGAACAATGCAAGAATTAATTTCAGACAAGAATCAAGATAATGAGGATTTCAATAATCATTATCCATTTTTGGATTTCAGTTTCAAGAACAAGTACAAAGCAATATCAAGAAAGATTCAAGATGGATTTTAGGAGTTTTAAGCAATTTCAACAGACATCAAGAATGTAGAGATTAGCAACAATAGAGAGTTTAACTTTATGACAACTTGCCAATCTTCACAAAAACTCGGCAATTTCAATTGAGTTGATCACTGTTTTGATTAACCAATATAGAAAAATGAGCCACATGAAAAGACCATGAAGCTCTAAATGGAAGAAGTGAAATTTCACCATAAGACTTTCAGAAAGATAATGAGCAGCGAAATTTCCAAGCTATCCAACTCCTAAAACGCATCTAGAAAACACACAACATTTGCTAAAATAACCTTGAATCTCTTACAAAATAGAGGGTTGCCCATCTTCCACTGGTCATGTGACAAACAGAACAAATTTCTCAACCAGCTATGCTGTAGAGACCAACAAGATCAATAACAAAAGATCTCTGCAACTCCCCAGATTTTACAATTGTGGCAAAAGAGCCTACAAAAATTCTATTCAAGTAACAAGTCTAAACAAGTGCAGACTATCAGAAAATGACCAAGTTTCAAAACAAGATCTTAAGAACATGGCGGACAAGATTAATTTCATGAATCTACACAGGGTATGAAGGCAGGAAACAAGAACAATCAGATTACCATCTCATCAAAATGGATTAGAAAGTCTAGGGAACATGAATCAGAATCGTCCCTTATATAACCCCATCACTCATCTCACCATGGTTCTAAAATCTATTGGCTAGCCAAGTTCCAAACAAATCTTAAGTATTCAATTAAACCTAGGTATTCAATTAAATCTAAGCTTTGATACCACTCAATCTGGAGGTGCTTAATTTAATCCTAAACACTTAATTTCAACCTAAGCTCTGATACCACTAAATCTCCAGATATCTAATTTAACCTAAGCTCTGATACCACTAAATCTGTCATGTCCCAGAACCCAAACCCGAGGCGCGACAAACGCCGTGCACTCGTGAGAGGGTCTCACAAATGCACAAGACTCGGAACTTAATCATATCACAATCTGATACCATCAAAATCTGAAGATCAAATTTTATAATTTGCTATAATATCATAAATCTCTAATAAAGTCGAGTTTACAAGATCATGATTTATTTCTAAAATCTATATCAATCTCGAAAGGACTAGCCTTCTAACTCGTCACTTCCCGTGATTCCCCGTCCTCGGTTTCGCTTCCTGAAATGGTGGACAAAGAAAAACTATGAGATAAACTCAGTAAATAAAATATGGAGTGCCCCTTATTAAACTTATGGCATGCCAACAAGTGTAATCACGAAAAACGGATACAATACGGGAATGAAGTACACGTCTCCTCTATAAGTCATGGCCAGCGTATAACACCCACTGGCAGGCGTCAGAATTTACCAAAGTGTTCGCCCATTGGCAGGCGTCAGAATTTACCGGTCATATCAGTAAACATGTCGACATGTGCTAGCGTTTATAACCCCCCGCTAGCAGGGTCACTAATAACATGACAACATCGGAGACAAAACAGGCATAAGTTAACAAAAAAATCATAATTCACCAATCACTTTCAAATCATCAGGACAATCAATTAAATTTCAAGTAGGCATGCTCAATTTAATGAAAAGCATAAAAATTTCACTTCAAATCAGTCATACTTACTTTTGCATAAAACAGGTTTAGTCCCGCCACCATTTCAAAAACAAGTCAAAACATGTTTTAAAATCGAAAAGCATTACCATAATCTACTTACCTCAAATCGCATAAAACCAAAGACTCGATCTTAGTGCTAAACTGACAGAACGATCAGGAACCCAATCAAAATATCCAAGAATTAATTATCGTACCACGGATTCAAAAGTAAAATCACCATGACTACCTCCTAATCATGATGCTATTCCTATCAATCTCCATATGATCGGACATCTCCAAATTTATTCTTATATTACAAACTAAACATTTAAATCCCCTTAATTGTTAGCCATCAGTGCATGAACAGTGCCCGTGAACAGTACTATGAACAGTAACTGCACTTCCAAAAATTGGCAAAACACTAGCTAATCTCACGGGATTTTTCTCCAAAATCTCACAGCAGTCGATTAACACTCAATCACATAAATTTCACTTGAATTAAGCTAAATCATGGTCTAATTACTGTCAAAGTTCATCCCCATTTTTCAACAGAATTTCGGACATCACAGGGGCAGCCACTACATGGATAATTCAACAACTAATGGATGATTTTAGGCTCAAAGGGGGCTGTCACATACCATAAATCCAACAAGCAAGGCCGGAGCTGCAATTTGGGGGAAGGCCGACGGCATAGAAGGAGAAATTCTGCAGGGAACTCACGGGATTAACCCAAAATTAAAGGAACCCAACTTAAATCAAAGATAAAAGGATGAAATCATGGCTGTTCTTACCGAAAAAGCCCAGAATTTCGCACCCACAAGCTGCAACTCGCGGACAGGGGAGGGGAGAAACCGAGCAGATCTGGAATTTCTGCATAGGGGGGAAGATTTCAAGCTCCTAAATCTTGTTCTTGAATAAGAAAAGAAGGATAAAATCAAGCTTTCTACCGGTTTCCTCAAGAAAATTGTTGCCGGTAGCTTGGGAGGCTTTCGGGAGCTGTAGGGGACGAGAAAGAAGAAGAAAAAGAGCAGAATCGGCCGGCTGAGGAAAGAAAGAAAGAGGAAAAAAATCAGCCATCCTTATCCAAAATTTCCCTCTTTAAGTCCCTCAACGTTTGAAATATTCACTATTAGGCCCAACAATATTATTTTTCCACAATTTAGTCCTTAACTTATGCTAAAATATCACAAAATTTTGGGATATTACAGGGAAGCTAGAAGATGGAATCATGAGAAAAACTATAAGTAAAGGTATCTGAAATATATCAATGACCAATATTACCAAGTTACATTTTTTATATTTTGATTTAAAAGTTTCTAATAGAGAACAAGAATGAGAGAAAATTTTGGATAAAAAAGAAGATATATAATGATAGTCAGCAACGCAAAAAATAGTTAGGTTAAATGTTAGTTTTGGTCCCTTAACTTTATAGAGTTGCACATTTTTGGTCCCTCAACAAATTTTTGCACTTTTTTGATCCCTTAACTCTAAAACTTGCACAATTTTAATCCTTCCGTCAGTTAAGTGACACTTGGCAGTTAAATATTCCAAAATGGCACTTTTTAATGACGTGGCAATGACAACTCATACAATTAGCTTACGTGGAGTATGCCAAGTCAGACTTAATTGTCCTTATTAATCTTTTTCAATTCTTTAAATATAAAATTACTAAAATGCCTTTAATCTATTCTTCTTTCCATCGTTCTCCTCTGTGCTCTCTCTGTTCTCCTTCCCACCGCCACTGTTTTCAGCCATTTTTCCTTTGGTTGTCACTGTTTCTCTTCTCCCCTCCCCTCATCCCCTTCTTGGGCATGATTGGGTTCATGAGGAACCCAGAGACGATCTGGGTTCGTCATGAACTCAGAATGCCTCTTTCATCCTCTTTCATTCAGTACTCCACAATTAAAAGCAACATAAAATTTCAGAAGAAATGCCACCGTTTCCTCCATAAATATACTTTACCTTATTCTATCCTCTGCAAAAAGCATGTGTGAATCACCATGAATGAGAGAGTTAGCATACATCTTCCTGCAAAAACAAGGAATTAATAATGAACATTGTGGGTTTGCGACAAATAATCAAACTGACAATGAATCACCATGAATCAAACTGGACTATAACATCAATAAATTCAACAAATTTTACCTAATCTATGGCAACAAAGAAATGGGTTTGCGACGAACCTAGAAGAGATCTGGGTTCGCGCCGAACCCAGAGCATACCTGGGTTCGCGATAAACCCAGAGCAAACCTGGGTTCGCGTCGAACCCAGAACAGAGCAGACCTGGGTTCGCGACGAACCCAGATCTGCTCTGGGTTCGCGACGAACCCAGAGCAGAGCAACAAAGCAGAGCAACGAACCAGAGAAGAGTAGAGTAGCGAACCAGAGAAGAGTAGAGCAGCGAACCAGAGCAGAGCAGAGCAGCGAACCAGAGCAAAGCAGACTTGGGTTCGTCGTCGAACCCAGAGCAGAGCAACGAACCAGAGCAGAGTAGAGCAGCGAACCAGAGCAGAGCAGAGCAGCGAACCAGAGCAGAGCAGACTTGGGTTCGCGACGAACCCGGATCTGCTCTGGGTTCGTCACGAACCCAAAGCAAATCTGGGTTCCTCATGAACCCAGTCATGGCCAAGCTGATGAGGGGGAAGGGGAGGAAAAATGGCTGGAAATGGTGGACGAACCCAGATCGTCTCTGGGTTCCTCATGAACCCAATCATGGCCAAGCTGATGAGGGGGAAGGGGAGGAAAAATGACTGGAAATGGTGGCGGTAGCAAGATGAACAGAGAAAGCACAAAGGAGAACCATGGCAAGAGGAATAAATTAAGGGCATTTTAGTAATTTAATATTTAAAGAATTGAAAAAAATTAAAAAAACCAATTAAGTTTGACTTGACATACTCTACGTAAGTTAATTGTATTGTATGAGTTGTCATTGCCACGTCATTAAAAAGTGCCATTCTGAAATATTTAACTACCAAATGTCACTTAACTGATGAAAGGATTAAAATTGTGCAAGTTTTAAAGTTAAGGGATTAAAAAAATGCAAAAATTTGTTGAAGGACCAAAAATGTGCAACTCTATAAAGTTGAGGGACCAAAACTAGCATTTAACCAAATAGTTAATATAGAATAATAAAGAGGGAAGGATGAAAAGGGGGAAAATTTAAAAATATGAGGAAATTTGGATAAACAAAAAGGTTGTTTATATATTATTAAGTTGTATAAAAAAATGGATCATGATGCATACACTTTGTAAAGTTACACATTTTGTAAAGTTACACATTTTGTTACATACTGACGATTTCCATTACTTAATCCGTTATACACTGACGGTTCACCAAAAATGAGCTACTGTTTTGGACACAAAATCAAAACCTATAAAGCTCTAAATGAAAAACTGACCATTCAAAATATAAATCAATGTCTCTTGAACACCTAGATAAAATTTTAGCTCAATCCAATAATGAATTTTTGCAAATCGAATAAAATGGCAAAGCTATGCACAGTACCAAAACAGCAAAAAAACATATCACCAAAAATGAGATATTGTTCTAGGCATAAAATCAGAACTTTCAAAGTTCAAAACAAAAAATTAATCGCTCAAAATGTAAATCAATTTCTCTTAAACACTTAAATAAAATTTCAACTCAATCCAACAATGAATTTTTACATATTTAACAAAATGGCAAAACTATGCATAATACCAAAATTGTAGAGATTTTCCCTATTTTCTTTTCCCTTTTCTGTCGATTAGCTACACTCAAATGCACTCCACTTTTTGCTATATCATCCTAAAAACAGACTTGTTTTATGTGTCTAATAGGTTGTAAAATCGTGGGCTAAAACAAAGATGATTTTGTGAGAAAATGAACTCTTCCTCAAGATACTGGAGACTCAAGATTCAATACTTGAATGTACTGTTTGGCTGGGATAGCAAGAGGGAGAAAGTAAAGGAGAGAAGAAAGGGCTTGGTGCATTTGAAGAGTTACGAGAGAAGTGTGTAACAGATTAAATAATGGAGACCATCAATGTGTAACTTTTACAGAGTATATATATTATTTCTCAAAAATAAAAGTTGACTTAGTTTTGTCAACCGCCTAATTAAATACATTCACGTTGTATTGGTGTAAAATAAAGTTTATTTTCATAATTTTTTATACAAATTAATAGTGAAAAAGTGTAATGAATGCATTATTTACATGAATTTTTAAGGAATAGATTAAAAACTGATCGTAATTTTAATAACATCAAATTAAATCATTTCATGTAATATTGATATTGAATATAAAATTTACTTCTATAAATTTTTATAAAAAAATACAAAAATACAATAAATATATCTCAAAAACTCATGTTAAAAAACACATAAAAATAAACTCTAACAAGAATGAATTGTGTTTATAATCTCTGTACCAATTAATTGTGGCAAGAGTTGTTTTAAGAGTAATTTTGGTTGATAATTGGTTTTATTTATTT